AAAGGACCCCACAGCAGGCTCGGAGGCAAACCTAAGACGGAAAAGTTTCGATCCCAATTCTTGTGATGATGGCGGGGGGTGGGGTGGGGGGAGGAAAAGTCACTCCAACCTTCCTGAGCAGTTCTAGATCACTTCTGTACTTCTAAAGCATGAAGAAACCATGGTAGCAGCTGGATATAGGGTAGCAGAAGTTATTTCGGTTCTCTTATTGAAAATGGGTTTTGGGCCAAGGTCAAGCTCCAGAGAATCTAGTCTTTAATGCCGAATCAAACAAGATGCCAGCGAAGACAGATTCCAGCTGATGTAGTCATTAGCCGAGAGGCTGGGGTCAATAACGTGGCTCAGTTTAAATCAGTCAGGCACCCTGGAGAAGAGCCCAGATATGAAGGGAATTATGGCCCAAAAGGTGAGCACACACCTTTTCCCCCAGAGAAAGCACCATCTCCCAGAGAAGTATCTAAGGCTAAGAATGTTAATAACCGACCCCTACCCCACCCCGCCACGAAACAGGTTTCCTGAAACCTAAAACAGGTTCCACTGTTGAGGAGACACAAAGAAATGACCATAATAGACAAGGTTTTGGGGTTTTTTAAATATATCTTTATTTCTCAAACTCAAAGCTTTATTTCATCAACTTCTAATACAGTTTGCATTGACAAGTGATTTCACCTTCATCACATAAGAAGGTCAGTGACCATCACACCAAAGAGGAAACCTCACATATCTTAGGCATCACTAAGAAATTAGTATTTCGAAGGCTATGCAAATCCAGAATAACAAAAAGCTTCCAATTCAGTCTAATAAGTATCTTACTTTTCATCTATATTAATTTGGAAATTACTGGATAAAAACTCTTAATTTTCCTAAAGCAGCTATTTTTTTTTTAATCCTTTGGGGGATGGGGGGAGACCAGATGGCTTGAGTTTTAAAACGCCCATATATCCATATTATTTAATGACTTCCTCTTTAGTGAATCTTCTCACCTTCCTATACAAACACACGTGACAATTTGTACCAACTCTCACCGGCCCAGGCAAACCTCCAAGCGTTTTCTCTAGTTTACACTTAAACTATTTTTGAAAAAGTGATAGGTAAACAAGATTTAGAACTCACCAAAAAACAAAACAAAACAGAAACACATTTTCTTTCCTGATGCTCACCTTGGGCAGTCTCCATAAGCAATCCTGAAAAGTCGCCAGGTCTTTTAACACACATCCTCCCTACGTACCTCCCTTGGTCCTCTGAATGTAATTGGCTGAACTGGAATAGGTTCCAAAATCAGCTGTGACATTCTGGTCTCTGCCAGATTAAGGATCTGGATCTAACCCTGGCAAATGGGAGTTCTTCACCTTACAGAATCCAACCGAAGGGCTCTCCTTCGTAGACAGCCCCAGTCAGACACCCAGGAAATCATGGCCCTGGGGAGCTACAGGGTCTCTTCCCACAGATGGGTAACTATCAATACCTTTGAGCTCTGAATGTAGGTGCATCCCAAAACAAGGCTCCAGTACCAGAAAGTTCACTAGAAAGGAGGTATTCCTAAAGTGAGGAAGTTGCTCTTGAGTGGCACCATTTCTCAAAGTTAAACAAAGCAGTGCTAGTTAAAATCCTAACCCACCACGAAGGTAAGGAGCTAGTGCTCGCAGGGAGGCAGAAGGACGAGCTGATTCAGGGCATTAGAGATTTGATTATTAATAGGTCACCACAAAACATGGGTTTACATACGGCTCAAAGTGACTTATATCCCCAGGTGTGTTGAGGTGTGTCTGCTTTTCAACCAAATGATGAAATAGTGGAGACCATGAAATATATGTGCCTGGCTAACTGGCAAATTAATTGACCAATATAATAAGTGGAGCGCCTTTTGGAGTACCCTTTTTGAGGTACTCAGACTGGCAGTGGGCGGGGCGGGGAGGGGGGAGAACTGACCACCAAACCACATGTTAGCACACAGCAGGGCCCCAGCATCTTTCCTACCCAATTCGCCCCGGCTGCTAGGTGCTCCTAGGTGTGGGCCGCACCCCAGCCCACATGCACTTAGCAGAAACCCTGATTGGAAGGTGTCCATGATAGAGACCTTAGGTTCAGAGTTGAAGTTGAGTGAGGAATCATGTCTTACTGCCAAAGTAAAATTTAAGGGTGAGGCTGAAGCTCAAGGCCAGGAATTCAGGCTGTGCCTTTCTGCCAACACAAGGGGAAATGGTACTGCTTTAATCTCACTGCTGCTCAAATGGATTCCAAGAAGCAGGCCAGGAAAACAAGCTGCATACTTGCAGAGAGCATCAGAGAACTTCAGAGTCCTGAAGCAAGTGAGACTGCTTAGATTTATATTAGAATTTGTACTTGAACTTTAGTGCCCTTGACCACTGCCAAGTTTCATGTTACTCAACACACACACAAAAAAGGAACCACAGGTCTCGGTACCAGTTCAGGGGACCTGGTGCTTGTGTGAGCAGCATGAAAGGCAGGTTTCAACTGGAATTTCCAAACACCTGAAATTCAAGGTTACCTGATCTAGTCTGAGGCCGGCAAAGGCCTTGTAGAGCAGGTAGAGACACACTGGACCAGAGTGATGTTTTAAAAGCTCAGCTTTGGTCAGTGCAGCCTTTTACCCTGATGGAGGTTCTAGAACACGTGTCTACTTTCAAACTCCAAAATGGCGGGGCTGACTGAGAACTTCAAGTGAACGGATTGCACCAAGACGGTCATTGTGCAATGGTGGTAAAGAACTAGGGGGGGTGCGGGGGCGGGCAGAGGGGAGACTGGGAATTTCTAACAACTTCTGGGCTTCCCTTCATCCTCAGAAGAGGACTAGTACCAGTTAGCAAAAAATATATATATATATATAAGCAGAAAGAACTCCAAGGGCAAAGTGGAAATTTAATTACTTGATGTGGTTCTGATTCTATCTTCATCTGGAGCCTCATCACCCTGATCCTCAAGCCTTCTAGTAGGAGCAATACTGACTGACTTCTGTTAGCAAGTGCTTATGTTGGTGGCTTCATCACATCTCAAAGTTTTGGTTAATCAGATCTGTCATTTTTGCGCAAAGATGTTGCCATTAGACCACAATGGCAGCCTTTTAATGTCATGGATGAGCACGTAGTTTTTAAAGTTGGGATTCACTCTTCATTCCCCCCCTTTTAACCCTGAAGCATGCTGGCCCCCCCGTCAATATAAAACCGGCCTAGACTCAAAGCTAGTGCGTTCAAATGTAACTATGGTTCACAGGCAAAGCAGAGCTGGTTACTTACACACAGAAGTGGCTTCTATTCACCTAGTGTAACACAACACAGATACCAGCTGAGCCCAGGGGTTCAGTCACACCCAATCTGCTTTTCAGAGGACCAAGACATCACATTCCCCAAAAAAACCCTGAAAATACCATCTTCAGAAAAAGGAAAACCATGCATTTTCTGCTAAGCCTTTCTGCATTAAGGTATCTTCATTGTTTAAAGCAAGGAGAAAGGAAAGCAATCACTCAGGGCTTGGGATTTTTTTATGGCCACAGGAGAAAGAAAAAAATCAGGAGCGTGGATTTGATGAAATCACTTTACAGACCAAGCTGGTTGGCGATACTGAGTTCCTTTGCTCTCAATACCCTAGAGTGATGCTTTCTAAGAGATCCCACAAGTTTTCAAAACACAAAATTCCTTACCTAAATCGACTGGGAAAGCAGTAGCCTAGAACTCTCCCATTTACCGAGCTTGCTTTAGACTGGAGATTAATACTGTTTTTCTTCTAAAGTGCACAATAGAAACAAGTATGGTCAAATCTACCAGAATAAGGAAGGCCATTCTCCATTTACTCCATTCTTTCCTGAATCCACCAGAATTAATCATTGCAAGGAGCCCTGGCAGCTCCCGTGCGGCACACCAAGCCCGAATGAGTGCTAAGCCTCTACCTCGCACACAGCACAGGGACAGAGGGATCGATTCTGGAGCAATCGTAAGCCAGGGGACTCTGCCCACAGCAGCAGGTCATTCCACAGGTCATTCCTTTCTACTGAAAATCCCAAATTCATGTGCTGCCCCAAAAAAGCCTGGAGAAGGAAATCACTACTTTTTGAAGAAAGAACAAAAACAAACAAAAAATAATCAGCGAAGGTATTCCAGAAAAACAGCTTGTTATCCTTGGAATGTGACCAAAACGGGTTTCCAATTAAAACATGGGAAGACCCTCTCACGTCAGTTACTATAAGGGCTCTAGACTCAGCACAATCCTTAGTCTTAGGAAGAGCAAAACTAAAGTGATGAGCTGCTGAGGGAGGGAAAAAAACAAAGTGTCATTCAATAAGAATTCCTTAAAGAAAAGAAAAAACTGAACATTCACGTTTCCTATTTACAATCACCCCCTCCCCCACCCCGCCACCGCCACCACAATTCTGCTTTAACATTATGTTCCACATTTTATTTTGTTTTCAAGTTACATTTCAAGCAAAGGTCTTTTTTTTTTTTTCCTCAGCAATATCTCACAATTCCTCGTGAGAGCACAGCATCTAAACCATAAACCACTGTCAACCAGATCTCAATTCTCCAGCTACCAGCTTTGGTTTATTCATGAAAGAAATCCTCAGCTCTGCTAACAGGGAATAAACGTAAGCAATTCAGTCCCTTGAACAAAAATGAAGTCACGAGACCACTCTCATGTCCACCATTTTCTGCCTGGCTAAAACTGGTACAAGAAAATAGACTATAACCACAACTTTCAGAGAACAGCTGAGCATCCCTTGTGAAGGCCAACAGAGCCTACGCTAGGCCTGGGTGAGAAGAGATACTGCCCAAGCATTCTCCCAGATTCCATTAGCGCACAGAGCTCCAATCTCCCCGTGCGGCTGTTTGGGACATGGCATGTTAGTGTCTGTCTTGGAAAGATGTGGATAGGTCGTACTTCCTATAGCATTTTCCAAAGTGGCACTGGAATAATGGGTCCCTTTAGGGTTGGCTCATGATACACTGTAGACCCATTCCAATGGGTGCACAAAGAAAAAAGAGCAGAATCAGAGCTGAGTTCCCCTTTAAAAGCCAAACACCTACATCTAGAAGGAGGCTCCCCTACCTGAGAGCCCTTGCCCTACTGGGGTTCCCACTGCGGAAGCCCTCAGGTCTCAAGGTTAGTTACAGGGCAGCCAGGTAGGGTACGGCTGGCTGTAGGTGACAGGAGGATGGGCAACATAGTAGTTGTTGAAGTTGCCATCACTGACGTAAGGAGCTGGCTGGTAGTAACAGGTGACGTTGGTGGCGTTGGGGATGATGTTCTGCTCTGCCAGCACGCGCAAGGCCAGGAGGGAGATGAGGTTCAGGGTCTGCCTCCGCTCGTGCCCCATGAGGCACACGGTGCTCTCGTTCACTACCCTGCGAAGGATCATGAGGTAGTCGTACTTGCTCCTCTCTTCTTCGGCAAAGTGGTTTTGAAGGTAGGTCTCCAGCTTCCTTTGCTGTTCGAGGATGTCCGGGAAGTCGATGAAAAACCTGGAGCACATGTAACGCTCCAGAGTTTTGATTTCTTCCTGGTCTGTGGGCCGGAAGTCCCGCACAAGGAGGTTGCTGTACTTGAGCAATCCCCCGCCCCTGATCTCTTCGGGGTTCTTGGTGGCGATCAGTCTGTTCTGCAGGTGGTCGAAGGCTTCCTCGAAGTCCCCGTACACGCTCTCCCCGATCACCGTGGGGTGGACGTGCTCAGAGATGGGGCTGCTGGAGCAGTCGTAGAAGAAGAGCAGAGAGTCCAGGATGATCTGAAAAGAGTCCACGCTAAACTCAAACTGGCGCCGGATGGAGTCGACGAATTTCAGCTCCACGTTCCTCCCGTTCTTGTTGGAGAGGGAAATCAGGCTCCAGCGGTCAGTGTCCGTGCAGACCTTCACCAGCTTCTGGACGTACGCCTCCTTCAGGGTGACTGGGCTGATCTTGAGCTTGTTCACACCCTCCGGCAGGAAGTTCAGAAGGGAGCACAGCACCACATCTCTGACCAGCTGAAATTCTGCCTCCGTGGGAAGAGCCACGTGAAAGATCAGGTCCAGGTCTTTGCAACCCAGGCCGTTGTCTTTGACCAAGACGTGGCCCGCTGCGGAGCCATTCAGCCGGACATCCTGCACTTTGATGCCTGCCTCCTCCAGCCGGCCACGCACGGTCTGGACGATGTCCTTCAGAGTTATCTCTAAGGTTGGAAAGTTGCCTCGTCCGTGGATGGGTACAACCTCGGTCAGGACCTCATGCAGCCGGCTAACCTGATCCCAGTTGAGCACGCTGAAGGACACGCAGTCCCTGGTATTGCTGCTCTCCTCTGCCATCTTGGGGAGTGTTGTTGCGGGGAACTGAAAGTGAGGGGGCAAGAAACAGAGTTAGGATTTGCTTCTACATGGCCAGGCAGCCCGAGGGACTCACAGCAGATGCTCAACGATCTCTGAATGTTTTCCCGCACAACAGCGACAACGGGTGCCTGCTGCTGGGTGCTGCTACGAGGGTTACACGGATGTGTGTGGGCGGGTATGTGCACGGAGTAAGGACAACATATACAGAAACCTACCCTCTGCTTTGTAATTTTGTTTTATGTGGGGCTGGTTTCTTTGTTTCACTTGTTTTGTCTGCAAGAAGGTGGTCTGTGTGAAGGGAAGTAGACAAACTTCTCAAACAAAGTCACCTAAACACGTTCCTCAATCGAAGGCCTACAGGTTGGGCCAATTTTCCTTGTTCTTCATAGAATTACCTCTCCTGCCTTTGCATGCCTACCTCCATCTTGAACTGGCTGATACCTAAGCTACCACCCCCACCCTCACCCCAGGAAAAGACTTCCTTCACTCCATGAGGAGATGAAGTTTCAACTCTGGGCTGCAACCACACCAACGACAGGAAGTCAGATCCGTCCTGCTAGAACCAGGTACACGGATATCTTGTTAGCAAGAACCCCACGTCCTTTTCACTCACGGGAGTGGTCTGCCCTGTAACCAGCACCTCCATTATCCAGAGTGGGACGCCAGGGAACCGTCTGGATGACAAGATTCCTGGCAACAAAGGTTCGGGTCAGCCCTGCGGTGGATCAGCTCTGTCAGCAAGGAGGGCCCTCCGCAGCATGTGGGAAACTTCCTTGGGGCAGTGTGATCTTTTCACTGTATTTTGAAATCTAGCACCTCCAGGCTACCTGAGAATCAAGTGAGCTCTCAGTATGAGGAGCAAAACATTCCATCTCATGCTTCACTTGCTAGAACCGTAGTTACACCAAAGTAATCTTCAACCAAGTGATATGTTTCAGAAAATAAAATACAACAGATCCCTGGAAATCCTAATGTGTAAAAACAAATGCTGCTGTATTAGAAAGTCAAGGTGCTTGTGGATCCACGTGGGTCAAACGTTAGCTAGACAGACATAAGAGCAGAAACAAAATGTCAAGGCGCTATCCTCACCCTTCAGGGCGAGCACAGAGTTTCCCCGGCCGCTTCGCCTTCCTGACTTGCTAGGCACACACAAAACCCATCCCAACTTCTGCAGTTTCACTGTTTGGAAACCACTGCTTTTGAACGCACATCCACCATCACTGTCCTGAGGTTCCAGCTTGGGTTTTAGGCCTTGCACTGGTGCCAGGGATCCTCGCCTGACATAATCGCTCAGAGGGATGATGATGGTTGTCACTCAGTGTTGGGGGGCACCACTGGACACCCCGAGACAAGCTTTCCAGGAGCCGGCCATTAAGAAGGTGGGTGAGAACACAACATAGCAATAAAAGGCAGTGTGTGGTAGAAAGAAGATGGAACATAAAGGTAGAAGAAAGGCAACGTGTTCCCTTGACTGGAGTGAACAAGAAGGCCACAGAAGAGTTAGTTCACTTACAGGGACAGAAAGGCAACATGAGCTCTGGGCTGGGATTTAGGGCCAGAAGGCAACATGCAGCCAAGACCTAGCGTATTGTCCAGTCTGGCCATCAGACACCTCTCAAGCCGGAGCACAGGCTCCCTTTGGTCTGTACATTAAGGGGTTGAATGTGCTTGGCCGGCAACAGGAAGGGTGGTCATGTGATCCCAGCAGGCTCTAGGAAGACCAGTCTGGGGCTTCTACGGGCTTCTTCTGTGCTTGCTATGGAAGAATACTTGCCAAGGGGCAGATAAGTTTCCCTTTGAACCTGTTTGGACAGTGTTAAAAAGCTCTAGGCTCTCTAGATCATTCTACCAAAGCAGGCCTAGGTTAAGGATAACAAGCAACACTTGTGGCAAAATACTTCATGCTCACTGTGACTAGCATTTGGCTTCACGTCAGACTTGGGACATAGTTCTAAGGTGCTCTATGTACATTTGGTTCTCTGTGGCCCTTTTATGATCAGCATACAGTACACTGTGCCTATTACACAGGGCACTGCACAATTAAGTCCAAATGACTACAAAGCGGTCTGGCTCTAGCTCTGTTTTGAGATACTGCTAAACTATGATTTGGTGACACAGATTTCCATCAGGTATGTTGATTTCCCTATAAAAACACAACCTTCTCTCCCCGTGTATCACCTGCTATTATGCTTCCAAGTCTCATGTTTATGATACAGGTATGAGAAGTCACAGTGACAGAGGAGCAACAAGTGAATCAATACTTGGAAGAGAATGAACAACTAATTTTAAGAATATCTCTAGGAAGAACCTCAATAATGTTGGAGAAGAAAATAACTATAGGAATGACTTTTGACTCGTGCCTTTTTTTTTTTAAAGGAGTTGTGAGAAAAAAAAAAAGCTTCTAAAATTAAAGTCAGAACTACTCCCACCTTTAGAACAGTAGTTCTTAGAGAAGGAACATCTAACACCAGTGGGAACGTGATGAAAGCTATCATGCCTCTCCAGGGAGGAAGTGGGGAGAGAAGGGGAGGACATAAGCAGGAGACCTTTCATAGATTTTTAAATCTCTAAACTTGCAGGAGGTTCAAAGTTAGAATCTGTTTTAGATTGAAAATCTGTAAGGCTCACATGGGAGGAGGGGCAAGAATGGCCAGAAGAGTTATGAGAAACAAGGATGATGTACATATTAGCCCCATAAGAGGTATTTTGAAGCCACAATAATCGAAACAGTGTGGTACTGGTACAAAAAGACAGACTGTTGGAACAGAATTTTTAAAATCTAGAAATAAAATCTAATACATGGGGTATTTCATATATGATAAAGGAAGCATTTCAAAATAATAGAGACAAAAAGTTTAGACATGTAGATGAGTTATCTACATTTAAAAAATAAATAAGGTGACTCCTTGTCTTGTGCCAAACTAAGATCTAGATGGATGAATTAAAGACCCTGAGAGTCCTGGGGAAACATGGAATTTACGCACACAAATGTACAGTAGGCAGTCCTTTCTAAATCACATAAAACCTAAAAGTCAAACATTTGATACAGAAAAATAAAAATATCTACATGGTAAAAACACCACAAAGAAGGCAGAAAAAAACACTAGGAAAATATTCGCAACGTGAGGCAAAGGACTTATTTTATTAATGAAGAATGAACTCCTACAAATCAGAAAGACTAGCACCCCAACAGAAGAAGGGACAAAATCATACCTGAACAGTGGCTCAGATGCAGAACACATTCAACCTTACCTTAAGGTATGAGCATATCATAATTTCACTGTATCATTCTTACCTATCAGATCGGCAGAGATCAAGAAGCAGACACCTGTTAGCACACTGCCCATGGGTTCTCTCTGAAGAACAGTGTGGGACTCTCAATGTTAAGTGAATGTGCTCTTTATAAATCAATTCTACTTTTAGGAAGTCTACTTTTCTACTTTCGATTTTATCCTGTGGGTATACTTCCAAGTATGCACCAGGGTATTTACTGGAGAATTATTTGTAAAGCTACAGAGTCATCAACAGAAGGTGAAATGACTTAATGCATGTGTACAACAGTATACAATTGCATGCAGTTGTCCCAAAGAATGGACGCAGCTCTCTATCTGTAAGAATGTGAAATGCTAGTCGAGATTTATTCATAGAAAACCAACTGTGCGTGCGTAAAAGCACAAGCCATGCTTGTACATTTATACAGATCTCTGGAAGGAAACACGAGTACCTCGGCCTATACCAAATACCCCCTTCTAGAATGGGAGATGGGACAAAGGAAACTTATTTTATCCTTTTTGAATTGAGAACCTACACATGTATTAATTGAAAATAGTTAAAATCTTATGAGCCATATCTGAAAATCTTTCCCCCGTGAGCCTTCTAACTCATCTGCTACCTTATTTAGTTCTTTCAATGCCTTTCCTATCACTCCCCACCATCTCTCTGTCCCCAAATCAAATAACACAAAGAAGCTTCCCCTCCAAGCCTTAAATGTGGATCTCTAGGGGGTAGGCAGGGGAGGAGCGACTGTTTTTCCCCTAGAATAGCTTTTAGTCGAGTTTCTACTTCTCTACTGTTTGATAGAAGATGTCCATTGTTTGTCAAAAATCCTCCAGACTTTCAAAATAATGGATAAGCCATCTCATCTAGACCCTTTCAATGTTTGTTATCCCGAAGTGGTTTTTTGTAGTTTTATAAGAATTGCTATTTCTCATTTCAGACATATGATAGTGACCCTCATGAGTTACGGTGGCAAGAACCTTAATAAATGCAGTCAACACTTTACCAGGAATCTAAGATGTCTGTGTTTGGCATCTTGTGTGCTAACGTCTTCTGACATACATGTGAACAATAGAGTTGTGTGCTAACTTCTTCTGACATACATGTGAACAATGGAGTTAACTTTTAGAAAAAAGTAGTTCATATAAAAGCATGGTGTGGAACATGACAAATGACCAATCCATGGTGTAGTTCTTAATTCTTCCAGTTTATCATGACTTAGATACGGAAGAGCTCAAGCTACTGAAGGCTCAAATTTAGGCGGGGTTCATATTCAGTGCTTAGCCCATTAGAAGAGCCCAAAATAAGTTACGGATGACGATTACAAAGGAATTCTTTGTTTTCTCTCGCCCAAACAATTTCTAATATCAAAAGTATATTTTTTTTAGTGACCCCAACAAACACTGGTTATTACTAGAATAAATCCAAGTCATAGGCCCTGAGGGCTTAGATAACACACCAGAGCTTAGTGTAACAGTTTGAGTTTTAATTAACCGCTTGAGATCAACATTGATATAATCTGCATATAAAAGAATCATGTGAAACACATTCTCAACTCATGAAAGGGACAGGTTAAAGGCAAATTCTAGTAGGCAGAATTAACAAAATGATGACTAGAAAACAAAATTAATATGAAGCCTGGTAAATTCAAACTAGTGTTCGATTTTCCTTTTACTAAGAAGGAAGATTCACTGAGCAGATTC